AAATACAACTTGCCTAATAATTCTGCACTCCCTGTACAATGGCCCAGAGGACACCAACACACTGGAGTTTGTAGATGTTAAATGAAGTAGGCATATTTACAGTGTCTGGTATTACTGTGATTCAGGTTTAATGACCTTCAGATCATACTTTCTTTGCTTACTGATTAAGACTGTATGTCTCACTGTGTCATTACACTGAAGTGTGCAAAGGCTTGGATGGTTGGTTTTCAGTTCATTTGTCAGCACTGACCTGCCATGTCTACTCCTCTTATCACCATCCTCTTCTTCCTCCTCCCAGTCTGATCCATTCAGGAAGTCAAAGCTGCCAAGAGCTGTTTCCACTGTGAGGCTGACTACACTGGGTGACCGGCTGTGCCTCCCACCCTGCACTCACAAACAAAGCCATAGTCAGGCTGTACGCAGTCACTTCAGTTTTTTGTTTTTTCAGGAGTTCTTTGAATCATAGTCACATAATGTTGGAACAGCATGCAATCATTCAGCTCAAATGTATGCTGTCTGTAAAGACAAGGGAGGCATACCAGATACTGTAACCACTGAAACTTCTATAGTAATTGCACAACTAATATTTGCAGTAATAATATTTCGATATTAATGGCACGGGAAAGCTGTGCTAACATTTATAAATACATACAATCATTGCCACTTAATGTTCAAAAAGGGAAAATTAAACTTGGGGATTTGTAAAAAGTACTTTTAGCTTAAGGCAGTTTTTTGTACTTTACTAACCTGTTTTCTTGTTTCTCACTATGCTTTACTCTCACCTTCAGTGTAACCTGCAGCAGTTTCAGCTCTTGTTCCAGTAGTTGTAGCTCAGAAAACGGTCCTCTATAATCATCTATAGAGGAAAGTACAGCTACCAAGGCATCCTCTAGTCCACTGTCCACTGGACCATAGCCCTTAGCAGACAGACAGTTGGAACTTGAAGCTGGGATATCGTCCTCCACTGGCACCCGCAGAGCTAGATATGTCATATCCCCACTTTCTACAACATTGGAGTCTGCTCCTGCTCTCAGAGGGGCCGATGTATCCACAGAGGTGGATGTATTGTGTTGCTTCCTGACTGGGTGGGGATCAGTGACATCAACAGCTGTGTCAGTGTCAGCAGAAGTGGGTGACTCAAGAGTTCTGCTGGCCACCTCCATTTCAATGTCATTGATTGAGATTCCAGAGACCAGAGACATCACGTCCCCCGATTCACTGACAGGCACCACAACCCCATCAGCACTGTTTTCACTAATGTGACTCAGAGAGCGTAAGTACAATGTAGAGTTACTGCTGGTAATTATCGGCACATCCACTGGTGCCATAGAGGAGTGTTTCCCCACAGCTTCTTCCTCACCGTCAGGCTTTGTTATCACAGTGACTGTCCCCTTTTCCTCATGCCTGCAAAATAGTTCATATATCAGATGTTGATAGAGCTCACCACAGAATAAGAAGGTTATTTCATCTTTGTTCTCATGTGCAAACAAAAACATTAACATTTTTTTTAATCTACCTGTTGCTCTCCGCTGGTTGTTTTGGTAGGATGATACCTTCCTTTTGAGCTGAGGAAGGCCAGTTTCCGGAGCAAGAAGAAACATCAGGCTGAAGGAGGGAACTCCTTTGTCCAACTGGCTGGATGTCTGGTGTCACCACTACTGCCTGGAAAGAGAGACACGCTGAGTCACAGAGTTAAAGTAGTAAACACAGTAAAGTAAGCAAACCAGACCAGGATAAAGAGTAGACCGAGTGAGGACTGAGGCTCGTTAAAGAAACCAATTGTGCATGGTACCGGCGGCTCCTCAAGCTACTGAATCATGCAATGTACTTAGTTTTTACAAGACTGTACACACGCACATGATCTGCTGTACATACTATAAACATAATACATATCAAAGTTTATCTTGTATTCATAATACTTTTGTTACTGTGTAATGTTCAAACAGCTGTAGCCCCTCTGAATCTGAGGAAGAGAGATACAGATTGAATCCTTAATATTATCATGTCATAGATGAGAGTTCCATATCTGTTGTGTGTTACCTTTGGATGTGCAGGCAGCTGTGGGCTGGTTGAATCATCAGAAGATTCTGAAGAATTAGACCATGCTGGTCCATTCTCCAACTCTCCCTGTAGGCGGATCATGTTCTAAAAGAGATCAGCACATTTTAAAAGGCTTGACTGCAAAAAAAGGGGGGGGAAATGGAGACCTTTTACAACAAGCTGGCAGGAAACTGAGCAGTCACTGCACCTGGTTGTACATTATTTGAGCAAAAGCGACACACTTCCTTTACTCACATATTTAAAGTGAAAAGTAAGGTGAAGGCAAGACATGAGTCAGCATGTTATCCCTTTAACCAAAGGTTCAGAGGTGACTGTATGGGAACTTTTTTCTATTTGCTTGCCATTTTTAATATCAGTATAGTACAACATCCTTAGCCTAGCTCTGTAACACTGTAGCATTTATTTATAAAGAGAATAACTTTGAGTTACGCAACTATCGTGTAATATTCAAGAAAATACTGGCCAGTGCTACCCCTCAGCCTCCTCGTAGATCCACCCTTCGTTTCAATTTCAAAATCCTATGTCACCTTGTCGTCTAACTTCTGACCTTGAGGTCAAGGACAATGAGATTCAAACTCATCTGAGATGAGTCTGCTTTTAGTAGATATATCTATGGTATCGATTTGAAAATATAAGGAGACTTCATTCTCGAGTTATTGCAAGATTTTCAGAAAAGGTGACCTCTGATCTTTACCTGGCAGGGTGACAAATATACTGATGAGGTAAAAAGCTAAAGGCTTCAGTGCTTGTGTGAAATGGCTAGAAGGAGTTATAAGTCTAAAAGTCATCATCATAAACTGGCACTGATGATGGCTAACAGTAGTCAGCTCTGTTGGAGGGTGGGGGGTCTAAATATTATAATTAGAGAGCCATGGAGATGCATGAGGAAACCTTGCACACATCTGTCATGGCTCCATGAAGCCATAAGCACACAAATGGAGACTATGATTCTAGTGCTTACTCTACACCAAAGTATCAATATACCAGAAGGTCCTGTGTTTCTACTCCACGAGGTCTACTTCATCACGACTTACTGCAGTGGACTGCCTTGTTGGTGAGTTGTCACTACAGGAGCAGCTCTGGCTAAGAGTGCCTCTGAAGATGTCCAGCAGTGGCCAGTGCTGCCGCCGTGTCAGATTCCGAGGCAGAGACTGGACATCAAAGTGGCAGCAGGTGGAACAAAGGGCATTGGAGCAGTTAGATACTGAGGGCTGCTGGCTAAACTCTAATGTCCTTTAAAACTCTCAATGTTCTCATTTACAGATTCCTAATTTTATTTGGTGGATTAAATCTATAGAATAGATTTAATCGGTTATTTATTTATTTATTTATTTTAAAAAACATTGTGCTTTGTTTTTTTTTTTTTTAAAGCTGTGTTTGACTCCTCTCTCTCCTCCCCCTCTGGAAAAGGCTGTTTTTATCTATTGGTGGAGGTGGAGAATCCCAGGAATTTAAAACCTAGTGGGTGTTTAATCACGTGCATCATCACATGAGCCAAGGTGTGGGGGGGAAAAAAAAAGAAAAAGAAAAGAAAAAAGGCGTGGATCATGACCACCAGAGGTTTTGGGTGAAACCACTGTGAGATCTTGTCCCATGCTATCATGTGACCTATTAAGGTCATCATACGTAAGACACGAGTGGGGTTTGAAGGACTGGGAAGGGATCTCAAAACTATGTTGTAGGGGACTGACAGTTGGTGTTGGACGCCAGCCCCTCATGGTTGTTCATAGTGGACACTGATAAAGATGCACACCTGAGTCTTATTGAGGTGGCTCTTCTATGCTGTGCCATGCTTCGAAAGGAGTGGCAATTTGGTTTCCTCAATGTAGAGGCCTGAGCACACCGATAAGTGTTCTTGCTTAGCATGTGTCTGGGAGTTTTTTCCTTATTCCTAAAGGTATTATCCTTTAAAATTTAGATGTTATGTTTATAGTTTTTGTCATTTTCCATTTCATCAATCCGTCTTTCTCCTGTTAGTGCTGCTTCCACATTTAGTTCTCTTTTCCTCCATTTTTCTGTCAGTGTTGTGTTCACATAGCTCATCACACACATCTGTGTTTACAGACTGAATATTTCCCATTTTTCCCTGTGAGTTTGTTTTTTCAAACAAAGTGTCAAGCCTTCATTTACTTCCTGTTTAAAAATAATTTTCCTATTGGCTCTTCCTTGTTGGTTTTCTCTGTGAATGAATTTCTGCCTTGTTTGACTTCCTGTGTTTTGTTTTCTTGCACTTTACAGAGAGTAAAGCTTCCCTTTCAGCTATTTTCTGTTGTGAGTGGGCCTATTCCTCCTGCTAAAACCAACAGTCTTTGTTAGTTTTCCAACTATCTGTATATGAATGCCAAGATAATACACATTAATATATGGGTAGTAAGTACAAGCAATCAGCAACTTTACACAAATTGTTCTAGGGTTAGACTGAAGCCTTTCAAAGAACTAATAGTCTAAAGCGAATGCTAAACTCACACGTAAAGGTGGTGTGTCAGGTGGAGTCTGGTCAAAAATGGCTGAGATTCGCTTATTGATGCTTGGTGGTTTGTTGACAGAGCTTGCAACCGATCCCTGGTCATCTTTATCAAACGGACTGAGAGAGGTGAAAAGGAATAAAGGATGGGAAAGAGAGAAAAGATAAATTCAATAAACATCAAATAATATTTACATTATGCTCTGTTAATGATACCTTTAAATGAACAAACACTACAGCACTCATGAAGCTCAGTATGATTTCGTACACTCACAAGATGACTGACAAAACTTACTTCCAGGTCACCTCAAGGCTTAGCTTAATAGTCCCAAGGTCATTAATATCCACAGCAACCATCTGGGGCAGCGCAGCAAACAGATCCTTTGTTTCACAGGAAACACTTCCCACCACCACGTGATTGGCTAAGCTCTTTAGCTCTGTCACCTAGGAAACCAGAGAAATGTCTGATCATTATACCATCTGTTTTTTTGCCTTCAACAAGTCCGTTTCAATCATCCAGGCTGAAAATAGTACACTCAAGTTTGTCAAGGTGCTGATGTCATTGGGAAAAGATATTATTATTAATAACACAATAGGATCACACAGTGTCTTTTATGGCTGAGGGGTAAAAAACTCACACATTCACCAATAATAATGGACAATATGAAGTTCCAGAGGATATTAAAGTATTATTCTTTGATAACTGAATTCAAAAAGGTAAACTTTCATACATTGTATATTGAAATATTTCAAGCTTTTTGTGTTTACATTTTGATAACTATGACTTAAAGCTCATGAAAATTAAAGATCCAGTTTCTGAAATTAGTACATTTCATTTTGAAATGATCAAATGATGATAAAATAAAAAGACTTTCTGTTGGTTAAAAAGGCCGCTGCAACGATGTATATTAATGGATGATGTATATTAATTAATGACTAGAAGGAAAAGGATGGTTTTGAAAAGGTGTAAAAGAAAGAGTATTGTCAAGGAAAATTGAAACATTTGGGACAGCTTTATAAAGAGTCAACTGAGGCTGGTGTCAGAGCATCAAGAGCCTCCACTCAATGTCTCTGGGAAAGTCAACTGCCCCCATGCCACAGAGCACAGATGCAGTAATGCTGACCCAATGAAGTATTGATTGTATGAATTAACATCTTTTCAGTACTTTCTGATTGGTCTTAGGAAATAATCTAAAAATTTTAGATGTTGCATTTTTGATATTCATTAACTACACTATGATTGGTCAAAATGTAAACAAAAAAAAAGCCATGTAACAAATACAAGAAAGTAAACTTTATGTAATAAGTGATTTTTTTCAGTTTTGAAGAAAATGTCACACACACACACACACACACACACACACACACACACAC